TTATAACTCATCTAATGGTTATTAAATGAGTAGTGTGTACAAAATATTGTCTGTTTGCCTGGAAAACATTATATTACCGGTCTGGAGTTAGCATTCTAGTGAAAAAAGCACTCAATAAGTAAATTAATTACAATGTAACATAATGTATTATTTGACTGAGTTGTCAGGAAAGGCTTTGTTGGGAAGGGAATAGTTGAGTAGGGACATTAATAAGTAAGTAAGAAAAGAGAGCAAGGCACAGGGGAACAGCATTCCAGCAAGGGGACCAGCAAGTGTAAACACGATAGTATGGGAGCACGTTACTGTGCTTGGTCAAAAGCAAGGAGTGTGCTATGGGAGATTTAAAGAAGCAACTCAAAAACGATGAGTTCATGTCCTTTGTAGGGACATGGATGAACCTGGAAACCATCATTCTCAGCAAACTGACACAAGAGCAGAAAATCAAACACTGCGTGTTCTCACTCATAGGCGGGTGTTGAACAATGAGAACACATGGACACAGGGAGGGGAGCACTACACACTGAGGTCTGTTGGGGGGAAATGGGGGAGGGATGGGGGCGTGGGGAGGTTGGAAGAGATAACATGGGGAGAAATGACAGATACAGGCGAGGGGAAGGAAGGCAGCAAACCACACTGCCATGTGTGTACCTATGCAACAATCCTGCACGTTCTTCACATGTACCCCCAAACCTAAAATGCAATAAAAAAAAAAAAAAAGAAGCAACTTAGTGCTGTATCATGCAGGGCCACGGAAGGACTTTTAGGCTATAAGGCCTATGGGAATGTATCTAATCATGATGAGAAATCACTGAGTATTTAAAAGCAGAGCATGACATATTTCTTATAAAAGAAAAATGAATATTTATATTGCATTTGTATGTGCCAATCCCCATTCCAAGTGTTTTACTTATATAATCTAATTTAATTTAAAAACAATGCTATAATGTATATTATTGTCATTATTATTCCTATTTTTCAGAGAATGAAACAGTGAAAAAAATTAAGTAATGACCATGTTATGTTAACTTGAACACAGGTAGTCTGGCTTCAGATTCCTTGACCTTAATCACTAGTCTGTAATCATTCTATTTTCATTTACAAGGGTCTCTGAAGCAAGGGGAATAGACTTTTTGAGTAAGAGTTTAAGCAGGGATACCAGTGAGGGGAGTGATGACAATGACCTGAACTACGGTGGTTGTGATGGAGAAGAGGAATAGTGTGGTTGGATTTGAGATGTGTTTTGAATGCAGTGGAAGTGGGAGGTTTGTGTATATAGTGTACATAAGGCAATGAGAGAGAGTCATAACTCCAACCTTTTGAGATGAGCAACTGGGTTAAAGACAGTGTTTCTTCCAAAGCTCTGGTATGGTGTGAGGTAGAAATAGAGTTTGATTTTGAACCTGTGAAGTTTGAGATGTATTTAAAACATCAAAGAAGGAGATAAAGGAGGCAATATGGCATACAGAGGTTGTGGTTTGGACTGCAGATTTATATTTGCAAGTTATTATCATATTGATGTTTTAGAAAGCTGTGTGTCTGCCTGAGTTCCCCTAGGTAGAGAATATAAACACACCAAGGATTGAGCTCTAAGACATTGTAACCTTCAGAGATCATGAAGAGGTAGAGGATTCAATAAGAATCTGATAAGGAACAGCAGATAAAATACACTATGAGTGAGTATGAAAGAGCAACAGATTAACTGTGCCTAATGCTGCTGATACATGTGCAATGAAGGCAGAGAACTGACCAGTACATTTGGCAAAGTGAAGATTATTGCAGATGCTGACTATGGAGTGATAGGGACAAAGTATGAATGGATTGGGTTCAAGGGACCAGCAAAATCCTGATGCCCCTTCTAGCTATAGCAAGATGATTAAAAATAACCTAAAAAAAAAGGTGGAGGGTAAAAGCAGGGAGAAGAAGAGAATAATAACACTTTTCCAAATACTTCAATCAATTGCAAAATATTTTATTATGCATCTTCTATACATCCAGCACAATTAGTCACTAACATCAATGAATTTGTAGCTTCATTTATTTGTTTAGGCAACTATTATTCATAACAGGTTTACTATGTGATGGATATTTAATGGCTAGGGCTTTACGATATTTTTCTTGTTAGAATAATTTTTTTTTCATTTTTAATTACTATGAGTACATAGTAGGTGTGCTTTTGCATTTGTGACTTGTGATGTTTTGGAACAGGCATACAATGTGTAATATCACATCAGGGTAATGAGAACAGGGTGTCCATCACCTCAATCATTTGTCATTTCTTTGAGGAACATTCCAGTTTCACTTTTTACTTATTTTGAAATACATAATTAGTTATTTTCGACTGTAGTCACTCTGTTGTGCTATCCAATGCTAATTATTCATTCCGGCTAATTATATTTTTGCAACCATTAACCATCCCCGCTTCCCCACAATTCCCCTTCTTCTGCTGCTCTTCCAGCCTCTGGTAACCATCATTCTACTCTCTACCTCTCAGTTCAATTGTTTTAATTTTTAGCTCCCACATGTGGGTGAGAACATGCAATATTTGTCTTTCTGTGCTTGGCTTAGTTCACTGAAAACAAATGTAAAAGGAAAAAGGGATGCTTATATTTCCATAATCCTAACACATCAACATTTTTAGATTCCCTTCAATTGCTGTTCATCCCTCCACAACCTTTACTCAACCTTATTATTTTGTAAACCTTCTTTGTAGTCGTATTTTCATAATATGATAATTATGACAGCAACAATTTTATTGTGTGAGTAGATACCATTGGTTAACTAATCATTTTCATTTCCAACCATTTATATGGTCTTCAAACCACAATATACTACTAATATTTGTCTATATGATTATTCATCTTAATGTTATTTTCATTGAGCTATGAGTAGCCCTTCAATGCCCAGGACTACATCTGGTTGGATTCTGAATTACTAGCATGTTTGGTTTCTAGGTAGTACATGAGACTTTGTAGTGGCTAAGAGCATGAACGTCGAGTGTCTCTAGTCTCATTTTGCATTCTCCACTTGTAGGCTTGTAGCCTTGATCAAGCTATTTAAATTCCCTTTATCTCCTTTATAAACTGAAGGTAACAATAGCACCCTCTAGGTTGTATTGAGGGTTATATGAGTTAATATATCCAAAGTCCTTATGATTGTGCCTTTTCATTTTGTAAGCACTGTGTAAATGCTTAAGTGTATTATATATATAAAAAGTCAGTGCCCAGAATATGTTTAATAAATGAATAATACATCACAAAAAGTTTTATTTTTTGCTTCATACAGGTAACATTTTAAATTCTTTTGGATTATTTCCTCTTTGGTTCGATAACAACGTTGTGAGCAGGTGCTGGGTGCCAGGTATCCAGAGATAAACGATAATTTTGAGCAATTAACGTTCATAAGCAATATTAAGAAGCGATGTATCATGAACATTTTTTTTTTTTCTAGTTCCATCACCCAGGCTGGAGTGCAGGGGCTGCAATCTCGGCTAACCGCAACCTCTGCCTCCTGCGTTCAAGCAATTCTCCTGCCTCAGCCTCCCAAGTAGCTAGGACTACAGAGGCGTGCCACCACGCTTTTTTTTTTTTTTTTTTTTTAGTAGAGACAGGGTTTCACCGTGTTAGCCAGAATGGTCTCCATCTCATGACCTCATGACCCACCCGCCTCGGCCTCCCAAAGTGCTGGGATTACAGGTGTGAGGCGCCGCGCCCGGCCCACATCATGAACATTTCTATGGCTCCAATGACACTGGTATTTCGCCTTGGGAACTGAAGCTCTGCCAGGGCAGGGACAGTTTCTGAGTTTCACACTGCTGTGCATCTATAGCAGGACGGGTATTTGCTGGCTTCCTTTCCTCCCCACTCACTAGGGCCCTTTTCTTCTTTCACATCTTTTTTTTTCTCCCTCCTTTTCCTTAAATGCTTTCTCTGAATCTTGATTCTCGGATAACTAAATCAGTAAGATTCAGTTAGGTAACGGTAGGAGGGGGAGAAAAACGGATGTGACGAGCGAGGTATGTTCGAAGAGTCGTCCATGTGGTAGGTGGCTTTGGTTAGGGAGTTTCAGAAACGGGGACCAGACACGAAGGGCCTCACCAGTCAGGAAAACATCATGACAGATTAGCAGTAGGAACACAGCAGAAGGTGCCTGAACAAGAGATGACTTAACGAAAGCCTTTACAACGCTTCTCGGGGTGATATTCCAGACTACCATCCAGAGTGACAGAGGGCAGCCGAAGGAAGGCTCTTACAGAAACTTGGGGAAATGGAAAGGAATGAAAGGGAAATACTTACTTTGAGATCATTTCCTTCCATATAACCTATTAGTTATTTTATTCATTCACCATACATGTATCGAGCGCCTACTCTGTGCCAGGCACTGTGCTGGACACTGGGCATATCCCCCGTGGACAATGTCGATTCCGTCTGGCTTTCATGCCCTGTTGCTTGCTATTAGGACCGTCAGTTCAAGACGGCAAGAGCTCAGGACTGCGGAGGTGGCATCCGCATCCTGTCGCGCTCCGTGCCGGCGCACGGTGGTGGCGAAAATCGTGTAGTCTGAACGGATTTAAGGCCTTGCAGCATGATTGCTACATACGTCGAGACAGGAAGAAAAAGGGCAGGGTGGCACGGGTCTCCACGGCGGGGGCACGAGCTTGCCCGAGCGCAAGCGTGCGCCCGTGTGTGTGCGCGGAGGGCCCCGCTTCCCACGGCGCCTGGCGGCGTGCCCGGCTACGCAGCCGGACCGACCCCCGCCTTTCCCGGCGCGCCCCCTCCTCCCCGGAGCGGGAGGAGCCGGGCGCAGCCTCGCGTCGGTCCGCAGGCGGGCCCCGGGCCGCTCCTCCCGGCGGCGGGCGGGACTGTGCAGGGCGCCGCCCCGCGGCCGCAGCTCCGGGAAGCCCCGAGCGCGGGGGTGGGGGGGGGGGAGCGCGCGCCCAGGCGGCGGGTGGAGCCTGAGCCGCGCGGCCGTGGCCAATCGCGCCGCTCCGGGGGAGGAGCCCCAAAGGGGGAAAAGAAAGTGCGGCGGAAAGTAAGAGGCTCACTGGGGAAGACCGCCGGGATCCAGGTCTCCGGGGTCCGCTCCGGCCGGAGGCTCGGAGAGAAGCGGCGCCCGGCGGCACTGCGCCCAGCCCCGCCGCTCGCGCTGCGCCCGCTCGGCCTCCCAGGAAAGGTGAGTCTCGCGCCGCCGTCAGGGCGCAGAAGTCACCGAGCCGCAGAATCTCGGGTGGATGGGTTCTTAGAGATCGTTTCGTGAAACCTTCCTACTTTACAGAAGGGAACACTGAGGCACAGAACGAGGCAGCGACTGGGATAGGTCGTACTGCTTAGTTGGAACTGGAGCCTGGGTTCGAACCCAAACGTTCAGAGACCCATGTTTGCTTTGCAGGGATTTAAGGAACGCAGTTGTGGGACGTCGGCTCCTTGCTGCCCCCATCCTCGGCCCTCTGAGGGATATACCCCTGTTTTCCTTTTCACCGCCCCCTCCCTGCTACCACCCCCCACCCCCACCCCCATCTCCGCCTTGGTTTCTCCAGACGCTGCTGTAAGCGCTGGGGATAGAAGGAAGCAGTGTGTCCCAGCATGCCCACTCGGTATCACGCCGCTGTCAGCCCAGAGCTGTGACAGCCTGGGAAAACGCTGCTTGCAGCTTCACTCCCTCTTCCCCTGACCTGCTTTCTCAGAAAGATGCCCCTGCCCAGGTGTCAGACCAGCTTCTGGAGGAGCAAGGGGACAGGGGAGGGAGGCCTGGGCGCCAGTGACCTCCTGTGGTACTGTTTCTTCCCAGCCCCGGAGGAAGCAGAGCTACTGGCCTGTGGGAGACAGGGTCTCTTCATTTGGGAAGAGCTGACTTAGAGCCCCTTCCCTCTTCTAAATACTGGGAAGGGGGCAAGGAAGCTGAGTTAAAGAAAAAAATCACAAACATAAAAGCAAACTTCTGCTGTTTCCTTTAAGAGCTAGTCCCAGCCTGTCTTCCCTACACCTTCTGGTTGTGAAATTGTGAACCAGGGCGCCACGCGAAGCATTTTGCTGCTCTGCTGTGCAGATCCCTGGTTTAGCGACTGGATGAGAAAGAGGACTTACCTGGGGTTTTGACTCCAGCTCTGCCATGTGTTAGTTGTGTCATCTTGGGCAAGTTATCCCACCTTTCTGATATTGGGGTTTTGTTTTCTTTTTCTTTCTTTCTTTCTTTTTTTTAATATTCCAGCCGCGAAATGGAGATTTATAATGGTCACAATGAGCCCTTTGGGTAGTTGGGAGGATGAAATGGGACCATTCAACTAGCTTGTTTAGCACAGTGCCTGGCCTGGCACCTGGTTGGTTCAAAACTCATAGCAACTATTGTAAATATTGTCACATAGTAACCTTGCAGACAATGGATTTTCAGAAAGGTGATTTCATACTATCTTAGAGAGGCATTAAAAAAAAAATCTGTAAAAGTGGTGATTTTCTTCTTTTGAGTTTGAGCAGCTCTTTTATAAGAATTTTCTAAATGTTGTCCATGTGTGATTTGGATAATGGAATCTTAGCTCTAAATATAAAATTGATGTTTCTCAGTGATGTGAATTTCCTACTAGTTTTTAGGTCAAACCTCAGGCCTGTGAACTGCCCTGATCTGAGACGTCCTTTATTGACAAAGAGGGTCTTGAAATGGATAAGAGGCAGAAAGACAAGAGGAAAAAGTTGGAAGTTGCAGCTATGTTACAGATTGTTCTAAGCCCTCTATCCCTGCTCTCTTAGGTCAGTCAAACAACCTTACATTTTTTCATCTAGTATCAGAACACAACATTCTTATATATTTCTTCTGGATTGTACAGAGATGCTGCTAAATTCAGACCCTTCTGGACACAAACTTGTCTTATTTAAACACGAACACACAGATAGTCACATGTCTTCCTGTATTATTGGTATTTTAAAATTAAATTAAAATTAAATGGATTCCCTCCTGCACTCTTACCCTAATTATGACAATTGATTTTATTCTGATTATTTACTACTATTTACTGGTTTTGCCATAAGTCCTTAAATTGAGTGTCCAGCGTTTGTATTTGGCTGCCTCCTTCACAGGCCATAGCATTTGTATGCGGTATTGATAAGTGCTTGAGAACAGGGTGTGGTATATCTTGATGGAGGATAAGAGCCAAGTGGTGCCCACTTAGATACCTCTTGCACCAAGCATTTGTAAAGGATGGGATCACCTGCTTCCATCAGCTTGTTCCGTGTACATGCATTGTGATGAGCTGGCTGGGATACATCTGAATGTGTGCCTGAGAGACAGGGACCATGTGGCAGAAAAGGAAAATGTTCAAAATAAGGTCAGATCACGAGGGTGGAAGAGAGATTAAAAGTTAATTCCCTTGGTTCTGGTTCTTCAAAGAAAGATTGGTCAATTATACCGTTTATTTTTACACAGATTATTACTGTTACTAAAACCATATATATGTGTAGAAGTTTAAAATTTCCAAAGGGCATTTTATTTTATTCCTTGTTATTCACAATAGCTCTGGAAGGACATGGCAGGAAAATTGATAGAGGAAGGAGCCGACATTTTGTGGTCAGACCTACTTGATTTCAAATTCCAGTTATCATGCCTGAGCAGTTGGGTGATATTCAGCAATTTATTCCATCATTTAAAGTTTCTGTTTTATCCAGTTCTAAAATGAAAAAAAAAAAAAAAAAGCTTATCTTAAAAATCTGTATAAAGAATAAATTCAGTAGAATAATGTCAAGTACAGGTAGTGAATAGGTGCTCATTAAATGGTAACTCTTCTTAGCTAATCTCAATTTATTGAGAACATAACTGGAATGAGACTCAGATAAATGAAAAGTTGCTAGAGGTCACATGTTAGTATGTTTCAACTCTGTGAATACAGTTCACACCTTTTCATGTCTAGTTTAGGGCATTTCCCGTCACACTCTGTTTCCTTGCCAATGAAATATTTAACAATTTACTTCAGTTATTAGGTTGGACTTCTTTGGTTGGTTACTTCAGGATATCCTTTTTGTTGAAAAGTGGGCATTTCCTTGCTGAGAGAACAATTCTTAAGCACAGTTCTGTAGAGTTTAGTGGGGCCAACCGCCACAAGAGGGAATTGAAAGCAATGGTCTCTAAGACAACCTTCCTACTCTCCTGTGTTTGATGTAATATACCTTTGATTCCTAAGAGAAAGGGTACTAACTAAGAAGACATAAAGTACAGAATTATGTCACTCTTTTCTTCCTGTTGTGAGTGGTTTCTTCCCTCTGCTATCCTCATGATAGTTCAAAGGCTGGGAAGAAGCTTGAACAACAAATGTCATGAATGTCCATAGCATTATTCAACTTTCTTGGACAATTTTGTGGGTACTAAGGTAGACAGAACAGTGTGCAAAGGAGGCATTTGCAGAAAGAGACCACTGCTTAATGGTGGTGCTGATCACTTGCCTGGAGTTTTAAGTCCTTGTGGAAAGTGATGGTTGCAGGCTTATGTAGGAAGATGAAAGGATCTGTATCTGGCCCAGCCAGTGGGGCTATTCATATACTGAGGCTCTTCATAGGCCATTAGATCCCTTTTCGTTGTAGCAAGTGCACAGGCTTGCAAATGCAGTTGTAGAAGAAATGTTTTGCTCCTTGCTTTTGGGATTTTGGAGCATATGTTTGCTTTTGCCCAAAGGTAAGTAGTGAGCATCATCTTACCTGGCACAGTTAGGAAAGCAGAATATGGCTGGAGGATATCAGAGGAAGTAGGAAGAAAAAAATAAACTAAGATTATCTCCAGTCTGTACACAGCTTCATCTGTTGCTCAACTTCATCAGGCTTTTGCTGGTGACACAGATGTAGGATCTGGTGAGTCACTGTTGCCTTGCCCATGAAATATTAAAGAGAGCCACCTACTGTGCTCTTTGCCCATTTTGGAAATGGTTCTGTATAGAAAAAATAACGAAACACTGAAGAACAGGAAGGTCACAGAACATTTGGCATGTGGTATTCTGAGGGATAAATTCAGGTGAGCCACTCATTTGATGCTTTGTTTTTTGTGATTTTTATTTATTTATTCAGAAATTGAGAATGCATGGTTTACAGTAATAGGGTTGTTAGGAGACATCCCTTTAGTCCATCTTCATTCTAACTATCTCTGGCAGCTGTGGTAGTGTGGATCTCAAGAGTCTGGCTGAAATCCGAGGCAAGTTATTCTGTAGGGATGATCTTTTGGCTCCACAGCTAGGAAATAGGAACACTCATGCCTCCTTAGAAGCTTAAGTCCCTATTTATTTCAAAACCTTATTCATAGAAAGCATGTAATAAACACTGATTCGGTCTTCTGCCAACAACTCCTTCAATGTATTTGTCTGTTAAATTATGATCGTCAAAATTTAACAGCCATATTTCCTAGTCTCCATCGTTATTTCTGCTGAATGTCTTAAATATATCATCTCATTCGATCTTCACAATTATCCTGTGTGTGTGTGTTTTTTTTTTTTTTTAAGAAAACCAAGGCTCATAGAGTTACATAGCGTGGCCTATGTATTAGTCTGTTTTCATTCTGCTGATAAAGACATACCCAAGACTGGGCAATTTGCAAAGGAAAGAGGTTCATTGGACTTATAGTTCCACATGGATGGGGAGGCCTGACAATCATGATGGAAGGCAAGGAGGAGCAGGCCTTGTTTTACATGGATGGCAGCAGGCAAAAACGAGAGCTTGTGCAGAGAAACCGTCGTGTTTAAAACTATCCGATGTTGTGAGACCCATTCACTATCACGAGAACAGCGTGGCGCAGACCTGCTCCGATGATTCAGTCATCTCCCCCTGGGTTCCTCCCACAACGTGTGGAAATTATGGGAGCTACAAGATGAGATTTGGGTGGGGACACAGAACCAAACCATATCAGCCTATGTAACAGCACAAAGCAAGAAATGATGCCAAGACTCAACTATGCATTTTATTTTAGAGCTAGAAAGAACTTCCCATTGTTCCACCTCTGGACTAGAACTGAAGACTAAGACAAATGACCTACCCAGTCATCATCCTACATCCTCATCCTGGTATTATTTTGCCTGTGACTGGGAAATATCTTTATCTTTGGACCTAAAATGTGAGAGAGCTGAACTAGATGATCTCTAAATTTCTTCTGCTCTAATGCATTGTGTGTCTTTAAGATTCCTTTCAACTTTGAGATTCTGTAATCACATC